CAAGATATATGACATCAATCTCTTTTCCCTTGTCCAGGTTATAGGATGTTCTGAATACAGTTGGGTGAGGGCTTGAAGTACTAATTTTAGTACTTTTAGTAATTTTAGGGATTTCTTTGGTGAAAAGTTTGCTTGCAAATGCAGGGAATTAGACCTGATGGCCTGGCAGGCTCCTTCCAGTCCTATACTCCTCTTTCTTTTTTGGTTTATCTCATGGTAGGCTAGGCACTGGAACCAACCATTACAATTCTGATCTGGCCGTTCTGAAAAATTAGGCTTAGGATTTCAGTTTACACCATTTCTGGAGGTAAGCCAGGCCCTAGTTTGAGCTGGGAGATGAACTTTGCACATAAAGAGTCCTATTGAATTGCATATAGAAAGTAGGTCTTTTTTTGTCACTGTATTCTGCAAAATGGATGTACAGCTTTGACATAGAGTGGTGGAAATGCTCAGGTAGGCCCTACTGCATTTTAAAAATGGCATGGTCATGTTCCAGTTAATTAATAGCCCACAAGGAATCATAAGGTTGTGGCCCTTTTACCCTTGATTATAAAAATGAAAAAGAAACCAGTACTAGCAAATCAGTATTTTTAGTAAATCATTATTCGTGTGTATTTTGTTTAAATCCCACTGAGTCTTATGTATTCAGAGCAAGTTCTAGGCAAAGCCATTGGGGAAAATCCCAATGCTCTCTACTCCACATTTTACTTCTATTGGGATCACTATGGAATCATTTATTTTGTAGATCTCGTTTGTCCTAAAAAACCCCAAAGCATTTGTGCCCTGTGGCTTAAATGCATTGACATGGAGACACTGCATTGCAAATTATACATGTTGGGGGTGGAGTCTAGACTAGGTGCCTTTAGTTTTAGAGTAAACTGTGCATCAGTGAGATGGGAATATATTAAAATTGTACTTTTCAACTACTCGTAAGGTGCTTATAGATGGCAAGACGTACTAAGAATCCTACTAAATTGCTGCTTTGGAAATTATCACCTTCTGAGGAGGAGGGATAGAGGTAAACCCTCAAATGTTTCACTCAGTTTGTGTAGTATTTTCAATACTAGCTGACCTGTAAGATAGAAAAAAACAAGGACTCTAATAAGGGCAAGAACTGCTCAGCATTCATTAAAGCTGACATGCCCCTCAGACATGCCATGCAAAACTGAATGTTTACTAAAGATCAGTGGTGATTATGACAGAATTCAGGCATGCACATTTTTTATTTTAATATAACTACATGAGAGTAAGTACAGCTGCCAAAGGAATTCTATCAACTGCCTCTCCCACTCCCTGGAAGCCCACATCCCAGAAGGTTAGTTGTTTGTTAGTCGCTTTCCTGGCATAAAGGGCTAAATTCAGTGGGCACTGGTTACACTACACAGATAGAAGTGAGGACTGAATTGGGCCCAGCATGTTCAGATACGAGCTGAACCATATGCTCTGCCAGATAAAGGGAATAAATAAGAACAGCTTTTGTCTTTGTCTGTTTAATTAATTTCCACAAGACAACTGCAGACCTTTAGATGTAGGTAGTTCCACATCTGGAGTCAGAGTTTGAGGTCTGGCCTGAACTACAATGTTTTTGTTGGCATTACTGTGTTGGAGGGGTGGCAGGGGGCAT